ACCCCATTCCCCCCCCTGAGCACTGACTACCCTCTTCTATGCATGCCTCCGCAGCACTGCCAGTGACCCCCAGCAATCCCTTCCTTCCTCACGTATCCGTCCCAGTGCGAGCATTCAGTGTGGCGGTGAAGGCTCCGTGCCTGATGCCTCCACCGTGCTGTCTCCATCCCAGACGGCTGCTGCTGCCAGTACCCTGCACCGCTACCCGTCCTCAATCAATCCCTCCCTGCTGTACATGATCAGCAGCGCTGAGGGGCAGGAGGGTGCAGCTCAGCAGGAGCGCCAGCACGGCGGCAGCGGCGGTCGCTGCCGGCGCTTCTCCGGTTACACCCAAAGCCGGCTCAAGAGCACACAGCTTTGTCAGGAAACTGCCCTCCTGAACAGTCTCAGCACGCGGAAGGCCCCACATCCGGCTCCCACCCATCGCCCATGCAAGGCTGCCGCCCGCCTGCTTGCACCGCCTCAGCGTGCACGGCGGGAGCATGCCCACAGCTCAATCGCTTGAGCGCGACGCGGCGGCGCCTTTCCTATGCAATGTACGGGGCGTCTGGGGCCTATCGGGGGGCGCCACAGCCCCCCTGGCCTCCCAGTGCGGCGCAACAGGGTTGGGGGCAGCCGCCAGGGGGCTGGGACCAGGCTGCGGGCTATCCGGGCGCATCGAATGGAGGTGCATACTCGGGTCATGGACCCACCCCTCCCCCGCCGCTTCCTGGCGGGCAGCCGCAGCGGGCAGCGCAGCCGATGCCGGACCAGCACGCCTTGTTCCTGCAGTTTGGCAGCCAGGGGAGGCGCCAGATGCAGCAGGCGCCCGCCTCCCGCCAGCTGCGCAAGGCGGCGGCGGCCGCCACCGCCGCCGAGGTGGCGACCCTGCCCGGCGCCGCAGCCGGCGGCTATCTCGACGCCTACCCCGCAGTCAAGAGCCTGCTGCAGCGCTTCAAGTGAGCAGACACAGCGCAAGCAGCAATGCAGGCTACTGGCTTTGAACCTTGGAGGGCCATGCAGGCGCCGTACCCGGCGCCTGCTCAGCCATCCTGCACTGCTGCCCAGCCTGCTCCCCGCCTCCCCGGCCTGACCTGGCGCTGCTGCGCAGCACCCCGGATCGCTGCTCGACCAGCATATCTGCCTGCGTGTCACAAATCGCCCCGCTGCCGCCCCGCGCCCTGCAGGGAGCGTGGCACAGAGCAGTTCCCGCTGGCGGTACTGAACGAGTACGCTACGAGGCTGTCGCTGCAGGTACAGCGGTACAGCGGTACAGCCGGGCCGCCCACACCTAAGTTGGCTCTGCTGCACACACACACGCCCGCGCACGCGCGGGTTGCGCGCCCGTGCCCCTCCTCTGCCCTCTCCAGCCGCCGCCCGCCCCTGCCGCCGCTCCTGTGGCCGCCGCCTGCCCTGCCCTGCTGCCGCCCCCTCGGCGTCGCCTCCTCGGCTCCCGCTCCCCGATTATCATCAACCTCGGTGTGTCCCCCCAGTGTTTGCCGCCCTTCACTGCCACCCTTACCAAGCCCCCCCCCCCCGCCGCCGCCGCTGCCTGCTCAGGTGGAGTTTCGGGTGGAGCAGGTCAGCCTGATGGGGGGCTTTAGGGTGGAGGCTCGCCTGGCTAGCAAGAAGGATGGGGAGACGGTTGAACCAGGGGAGGGGCGCGCGCGCAACAAGCAGGCGGGGAAACAGGTGGGGCGGCGCGCCCGCGCTCGCTCGCCGCCGCCGTCAGCCCACATCCGCGCTTTCTTCGGACTGCCGCCGCGCTTTCTGAGGACAATGCCGACCCGCGTTCTTTAAATGATAAGCACCGAACTGCGCGGCGTCCCCCCAGGTGGCGGCCGCCGCGCTGCTGCAGCGCCTGCTGGAGACGACTGTTCAGGAGGAGGACTTGCTGGCGCCCGCTGCGGGCAAGGAGGATGGGAAGAAA